TTATGTAATTGCTATTAAGACAAATCGTAATTAATGAAATGCAGCATTTCTTGTTTGAATCTAGGCTATACAGACCATCATTGTAAGAATGTGTACTGGTATATACGAGTGTATATACCAGTACCAGGGAATAATGGTCATATTAGAATACACAGCAACACAGATTTACTTTATACATTAAATACTAGTCGAAAGTGAGGAATTAATATTGCATAAGGGTTTGAAATAAAAGTAGTGTAATATTAAGCTTATATTTCAATACAATGAATATTTCATGATCAATTGTCCGCGAATCACAGATACTTTACGGATATTGCATTAAATTCTAATATATAAACCATCTTTTGTGAGAGATATTTACCTGCCTCTTCCCCCCCCCCAAAAAAAAAAAGTTAATTACACCCGTATAATTACTTTCTCCCTCAACATTAATGACAAAGGCCATTAGTGTTGTACCATAATGAACCAATTTTTTTTTCTTTTTTTGTCCCCAGGTGCTTTTCTGTTCCCTTACCTGATCATGCTGGCAGTGGAAGGCATCCCTATCTTCTATCTGGAACTCGCTGTCGGACAGAGACTTAGGAAGGGGGCCATTGGCGTCTGGAATCAGGTAACTTCTTTTTTCTTTTTCTCGTATGTGTCAACTTTGACCTCATTGTTGGATTTAATTTAGTGGTAGATTATTATTTTTTCTTATTTTTTGTATATATCTATGTTTTGTTTATCTATGATTTTGTAGAGGTAACATCATATATTGTACATGTATCATCTATGATGTTTTGTATCATCTATGAGGTAAGTTATTTCCATGAATCATCTATGAGGTTTTGTAGAGGTAACATTTTTTTCTATGGGAATCATCAATGATCTCTTGACTTAAAAATATTTTAATTTGTATATATGTATCCCTAATTACCTCTTGACTTTAAGGTAACATTTTTTCATGTATATGACAATCACGACCTATTAACTATTTTATTTATTTCTGATGACCTCCCTTCCATAGAAATATGGAAATCCTATGGGACTTCTATTTCACGGAAACTTAGTAGTGCAGAGCAGTTCCAGGAAAATGTGTTTTGAAATGCTTGATTCATTAATCTTCTCACAATACAGGTTATTGTTCTCCGTGGTCGATGGTGACTAATTTCCTTCTTCTTTCTTGACTAAACCCTTTATTTATTTATTTATTTATTTTGCAAAGGTCTATCAAACTAATTAATAAAATTCAATATAATTTTTATTATTAGTCTTCAGAAGAGTGTTATGTTGGTTGATCAAAAGAAATGTACTAATATGGAAATCAAAGAATATCATCACAATTTACTTATATGCATTTATTAGCAAGAATAATATGAAACTCAAATGATAATATACTCAGTTGCATAATCACCAACTTACTTATGTAACTTATTCAAAAGAATAATATGAAACTTAAATGATAATATACTCAGTCGCATAGTACTTTTCAAGACAAGTTTAGTCAGGAGGAACTACGAAAGTTCGTACATTATACAATGAATCTTTGTATGAATATAAATGCAGTAAATACCACCACGCCACGACAGACGGACGAGAACGAAATAATATTCCAAGAATTTCTTTAATCGTTTGTCCTTCGCTTCATGGAAAAATGAGGACTTCATTATAATCTTCTTCCCATTTCATAATATCTCATATCACAACGTTTCTCTCGTAGATAGTACCAATTACAACCACGGCGGAAAGAAAAAGAATATATTAATTAAGACGAAAATAATAATTTGAGGTTTAAATCTGAAAACGAACCGGGTCAGGCAGGGAGAGCAAGATGAAGAACCGAAACAGGGCTTCTGAACCTCGTCGCTTCATCGTAAAAAACACCGTGCCTTTCAATCCCGGGATATTCCACACAACCGAAACCTCTCTTTGCAGGTTTCGCCTTACTGTGGCGGCATCGGCGTGGCTTCAGCATTTGTGTCCTTCAACGTGGCTCTTTACTACAACACTATCATAGCCTGGTGCCTCTACTACCTGGCGGGGGTGAGTATACTGCGTCTATCACGGGCCACAATAAAGTCAGGTGGATGTTTAAGAGAAATGCAGTAAAGAGTAGATTACAGGGTCAATTGGATATCAAGAGAAATACAGTAGTGAATAAATGACAGGAAGGTCAAATGGATATCAAGAGAAATTCAGTAGTTAATAAATTACAGTAAGGTCAGATGGATATTGAGAAAAATACGGTAAAAAATAGATTACAATTAGGTCAGATGTTTGTTAAAGGAAATGCAAATTCAATAATATGACACAGTGATGATAGAATTTGAATTAAAAATCAAATGGAGAACAATAACATGCATGACGTTTCGAGTATACAACATATCCCCTCATCAGAATAGAGAAACATATACATATATATATATATCATTAAAAGCTACCATCGCTCCCCTATTCATTAAAGCTGCCACCCATTTCCAGAGAGGATCATATTTCACCCTGGCTTCCTGTCTCGTTAATGAGATAAACGCGTATTCGTTGCCTTTCTGACCTTCTGAGATATGTGCTCTTCCCCGCAGAGCTTCCGGAGTCCCCTCCCGTGGTCAGACTGCCCCAAGAAGTATTACGAGAACGGGTCCTATACCGTGGTGCGGGAGTGCGCGGTAAGGACCTCGCTCGTCGCCGTCGCCAGTCAAATCATTAAAAAAAAATCACACACACATATGAGAGTGTGTGTGTGTGTATATGTGTACATATGAAAAAATAATGATAAGAAATGTATGTATATATATATATATATATATATATATATATATATATATATATATATATATATATATATATATATATATATATATATATATATAATATATATTATATATATATATATATATATATATATATATATATATATATATATATATATATATATATATATATATATATAATATATATAATAATATATGTTACATAATACACACACACACACACACACACACACACACACACACACACACACATATATATATATATATATATATATATATATATATATATATATATATATATATATATATATATATATATATACAATATACACAGACACACACACATACACACGCGCACACACAAACACACACACACACACACACACACACACCACACACACACACACACACACACACACACACAACACACACAACACACACAGACAGATATATTATATATATATAATATATATATATATATATATATAATATATATATATATATATACATATATATATATAATATACATATATACACAGACACACACACACACACGAACTACACACACACACACACACACACACACACACACACAGGGTATATATATATATATATATACATATACAAACACACACACACACACACCACACACACACACACACACACACACATATAAAGTATAAATGTTTATGTGTAGCATATGTGTGTGTGTGTGTGTGTGAGTTATCAAAAATAAAGAACACAGACTCAAACAGTCTTACTCACTCTCTACTTCTTGTATCGAAGCATGTCGTGACAACCATAATTCACAGCGGCGGAGTTGAAGGACAGTTACAAACGACTCCTCCCTCTTCCCCCCCTCCCCCCCTTCACCCCCCCCTTCACCCCCTCCTCCTCTTCTCCCCCCCACAGAAAAGCAGCCCCACGGAGTACTTCTGGTACCGGGAGACCCTGGAGATCTCCCCAGACATCAACCACCCGGAGAAGTTCAACTGGAAGATTGCCATTTGCCTCCTGATCGCTTGGCTCCTCACCTACCTGTGTATGGCCAAGGGTATTGCGTCATCGGGAAAGGTGAGTGACTCTGCTCCCGCGTGCTGTTGGTTTTGTTTTGTTTTGTTTGTATTATTAAATGATGGTAATTTGATGAAATGAAATTAGAGAATTAATCGTGATGTTTGCTTTTTGTTTTGTTTTGTTTATTATTAATGATGGCGATTTGATGAAATGAAATTAGAGAATTAATCGTGATGTTTGCTGTTTGTTTGTTTTTTTTGTTATTATTAATGATGATGGCGATTTGATGAAATGGAAATAGAGAATTAATCGTGATGTTTGCTGTTTGTTTTGTTTGTTTTGTTATTAAGGATGACGATTGGATGAAATAAGAATAGAGAATTAATCGCTCGCTTGCTGTTTGTTTTGTTTGTTTTGTTATTATTAATGATGGCAATTTGACGAAATGAAAAATAGAGAATAATCGCTCACTGCTGTTTGTTTTTGTTTTTTTAATTATTATTAATGATGGTGATTTGATGAAATGAAAATAGAGAATTAATCGCTTGTTTTTTGTTTGTTTGTTTGTTTTGTTATTATTAATGATGATTGCGATTTGACGAAATGGAAATAGAGAATTAATCACTTGTTTTTTGTTTTGTTTGTTTTGTTATTAATGATGGCGATTTGACGAAATGAAAATAGAGAATTAATCACTTGTTTTTTGTTTTGTTTGTTTGTTTTGTTATTATTAATGATGACGATTTGACGAAATGGAAATAGAGAATTAATCATGAATCATGAAATCATGAAATGAAATTAAGAGAATTAATCGTGATTTTTGCGTTTCGTCCGTGAATGCCGGTATTAATGTACGTACTTCAAGGAATGTCTCTGCTGGTACATAGCCTTGTCATATCAGTGCGTCAGATCAGTTCAAGGTCGCATATTATTCAAATGCATACTGCAACATTCTTCTGGAAGTAGATCAATAAGGCACCAAACGCATGCGTGTATACTTGGATGTGTATATACACACATAAGTAAATAGGGTTTCCGTACTGAAGAATCTAAAAAAGTAAACAGTGATAGCATACATATGATTTTTCTGGTAGTATAAGGACGCATAGTCTCTCTCTCTATCTCTTTCTCTCGTTCTATCTCTCTTTCTCTTTATTTCGCTCTTCTTCTCTCGATATAGAAAGACGGACGCATAGTCCCCTCTCTATCTCTTTCTCTCGTTTTTCTCACTCTTTCTCTTTCTCTTTCTCTCCATCTTCCTCTCTCACTCTCTCTTTCTGTCTCTCTCCCCTTCGTCTCTCGCTCTTGATCTCCCTCCTCCTCCTCCCCTTCTCTCTCTCTCTTTTCTGTCTCTCTCCTCTTCGTCTCTCGCTCGCTCTCTTCCTCTCCTCTCCCTCCTCTCTCTCTTTCTCTCTCCCTCTCCCTCTCCTCTCCCTCTCCCTCTCCCTCCCCTCTCCTCTCTCTCTCTCTCTCTCTCTCTCTCTCTCTCTCCTCTCTCTCTCTCTCTCTCTCTCTCTCTCTCTCTCTCCTCTCTCTCTCTCTCTCTCTCTCTCTCACTCTCTCATCTGACCCCCTCTGAAACGCGCTGCAGCTCAGCCTCGAGTTCGTCCGACCAGCCACCCCTTCACATACCTTCACTAAATCAGTGTCATGTGGCATCACCCTGACAACACCGGTGCCTGACGCTTCCCTCCCTCCCCCCCTCCCCTCTCCCAACCCCTCCGGACAGCTGTACCTTCCTGGTGTCAGCTGGCTTGGTTGGATGACAGTATATTGATCTCTTGCCCGTCAAACCGACTCCCAACTTACTAGCTGAAACTGGGACTTAATTACAGTGTGTTACGTTTTTTTTTCTCTTTTTTTTTTTTTGGCTCCGACTGTACGGTTGGGGTTTAGAACGCTGGGGTGTGGGGTAGGGGGTGTATGTCCGTGTGGATGTGTGTGTGTGTGTGTGTGTGTGTGTGTGGTGTGTGTGTGTGTGTGTGTGTGTGTGGTGTGTGTGTGTGTGTGTGTGTGGATGTGTGGATGTGTGTATGCTGTGTGTTTGTCTGTGTGTGTGTGTGTGTGTGTGTGTGTGTGCGGGTATGTGTGCTTGTATGATCAAATGTGCGTGTATGTGTGCGTCTGTATACTGAGAATATGCTTGATGATATAGCAAGAGAAAAAGAGAAACTCAAACAACGAGAAACACAAACAAGTGAACAGAGAGCTGGAGCAGAAAACCAAAGAGAAAAAAAATGAAAAGGTACACACACTCACAGTAGAAAAGATAGGTAGAGAGGGAGAGAGAAAGAGAGAGAGAGGGAGAGAGAAAGAGAGAGAGAGAGAGAGAGAGAGAGAGAGAGAGAGAGAGAAGAGGAGAGAGAGAGAGAGAGAGAGAGAGAGAGAGAGAGAGAGAGAGAGAGACCCACTGAGGGAGAGAGAGAGAGCGAGAGAGATAAGAGAGAGAAGACAGAGAGCGAAAGAGAGGAGAGAGAGAAAAGATAAAATAGAGAGAGAGAGAAAGAGATAGAGAGAGAGAACCCAACAGACAGAAGGAGACCGAAGAGAGAGAAAGAGAGAGAGAGACAAAACAGACGAGACAGAACCCCCTAAAATCAAACGCCAAGGAGAAACTGAACTAACACACACACGTTCCCCCCCTCCCCTCACCCCCACCCCCACCCCAACCCACCACACCACCCACCTACCCACAATCTTCTGCTCCCCCCCCCACCCCACCCCACCCACCACCCAAACCTTATCGCCCCCCCCCCCGCCTTCCCCTTCCGCCTCCCCCTTCCCACCCAACCCAACCTCAGCCCAGCCTCTTGTTCTGGATAGGCCTACCGTGTCCCCCCAAAAAGTTCGTAGAGGATAGATGGTTATTGATCCCTCTGTATCTCCCGCTTCTTAAAGGCTTAGAGTGACTTTTGCCGCTGGAAAACCTCGCTGTTCTGCCTCGCTCTGTGGGGGCGAGGGCGGCGGGGGGGGGGGGGTGAGGGGGCGAGTCTATATTAGAGGTTCGGGTGGGTTTGGGGTTGGGTTAGGGTAGGTTGGTTGGGTTGGGTTGAGTTAGGGTAGGTTGGGTGGGTTGGGTTAGGTTGTGTTGGGCTTAGGGTTGGCTTGGGATGAGTTGGGTTGGGTTGGGTTGAGTTAGGGTGGATTGGGTTTGGGTTGGGTTGGGTTTTGGGTTGGTTGGGTTTGAGGGTTGGATTGGGTTAGTTTGGGTTGAGTTGGGTTGGGGTTGGGTCAGGTTAGGTTTTAGGTTGGGATGAGTTGGATTTGGGTTGGGCTTGGGATGGGTTGAATATGTTGAGTTTGGGTAGGTTGGGTTGAGTTGGTTTGGATTGGGTTTGGGTTGGGTTGGGTTGAGATGGATTGAAATATGTTGAGTTAGGGTAGATTGGGTTGGATTGGCTTGGGTTGAGTTGGTTTAGATTGGGTTGGGTTGGGATGGGTTGAATTATGTTGAGTTAGGGTTAGTTGGGTCGGATTGGGTTGGTTTAGGGTGGATTGGCTTTTGGGTTGGCTTGGGTTGAGTTGGTTTGGATTGGGTGGGATTGAACTGCATCGATTTAAATTGGGTTGCATTTGGTTGGATGGCGTTGTGTTTGGGTGGGATTAGGTTGGATTGGGTTGGGTTGAACTTGGTTGGATTGGGTTAGATTGGATTGGAATGGGTTGGGTTGGGTTGGATAGGTTTGGATTAGGTTAGATTGGATTGGCTTGGGTTGGAATGGGAGGAATGGGTTGGATTGTGTTGGGTTGAGCTTGATTGGACTGGGTTAGATTGGAATGGGTTGAATTGGGTTGGGTTGGATTGGGTTGGGTCGAACTTGATTGGATTGGGTATGATTGGAATTGGCTTGGGTTGAGGGTTTGGAATTGCTAAATTGGGGTTGACTTTGGGTTGGATTGGATTAGATTGGATTGGCTGAGGTTGGAATGGGTTGGGTTGGGTTGAATTGGGTTGGGTTGGATTGTGTTGGTTTGCTTTGGGCTAGATTGGATTGGCTTGGATTGAAATAGTTTGGAGTGGGTTGGGTTGGCTTGGGTTGCATAGGGTTGGATTAGGGTGTTCAGGTTAGTTTATAGACTAGGTTAGAATATACCTAGCCTGGCTAACTGAGCTTTAATAGACAGTTGTATATGTAGGTATGGTAGAAAAACCCACAATGCACAAACTAGATTTATTGAGGAAAGTCTCACTTTCCTCAATAAATCTAGTTTGTGCATTGTGGGTTTTTCTACCATAGTATCAACAGTATTGTTTTTTCTATTCATATGTAGGTATAATTATGTGTGTATAGAGAGGTTTACGTACAGATAGACAAACAGAGCAATTTCCATAGAGGATGCATATTCATATTTATTTTGGTCTTATTACAGCCAATTCGAATAAGTCATCACGATTTTTTTTCTATTAATCTCACGATCCTAGAAATAGTTTATGGAATGTAATTTTTTTTAGCTTAGTAATACGAAAGGGATTTAAACACACGCAACATAAAACACATACAAACACACACACACACACACACACACACATACACACACCAACACACACACACACACACATACACACACACACACACACACACACACACATATATATATACACACACACACATTCTAACCCATAACAATGTCGTTTCAATCATTCAATTTATCTACTGCTGCTACTATAACAAATTAATTTCAACTATTTTATAAGATTGTCTGCCATTTTTTACATGTATCCACCACTACTGCTGTAAACATTCAAACATTTTCACTTCAACTTACTTAATTTTCAAACTTTCAATCATTCCATTTACCCACAGCTGCTATTTTTAGCTATTTTTAACTTATCTGTTTATCCACGTACATACAAAAAATGTATTTCAACTTATCTATTTATCCACGTACCTCAAAAAATGTATTCACTTATCATTTAATCTAAAAAAATGTATTTCAAAATAATCTATTATCTCAAAAACTGTATTTCAACTCATCTATTTATCTCAAAAAAAATGCATTTCAACTTATCTATTTACCTCAAAAAATGTATTTCAACTCATTTATCTCAAAAAATACATTTCAACTCATCTATTTATCTCAAAAAAATGTATTTTATCAATCTCAAAACTGTATTTCAACTTATCTATTTATCTCAAAAAATGTATTTCAACTTATCTATTTATCTCAAAAATGTATTTCAAACTTATCTATTATCTAAAAAATGTATTTCAACTTATCTATTTATCTCAAAAAAGTATTTCAAATTATTATTTATCTCAAAAACTGTATTTCAACTTATCTATCAAAAAAATGCATTTCAACTTATCTATTTATCTCAAAAAATGTATTTCAACTTATCTATTTATCTCAAAAAATGTATTTCAACTTATCTAATAATACACGTACCTCAAAAAAATGTATTTCAACTTATCTATTTATCTCAAAAAATGCATTTCAACTTATCTATTTATCTCAAAAACTGTATTTCAACTTATCTATTTATCTCAAAAAATACATTTCAACTTATCTATTTATCTCAAAAGTGTATTTCAACTTATCTATTTATCTAAAAAAAAAATGTATTCCACTGTTCTATTTATCCACGTACCTCAAAAAAAAATTTTTCACCTTATCTATTTATCTCAAAAAATGCATTTCAACTTATCAATTTATCTAAAAAAAATGTGTTTCCACTTTTCTATTTATCTAAAAAAAATGTATTTCAACTTATCAATTTATCTAAAAAAATGCATTTCAACTTTTCAATTTATCTAAAAAAATGTGTTCCACTTTTCTATTTAAAAAAAATGTATTTCAACTTATCAATTTATCTCAAAAAAAATGCATTTCAACTTATCTATTTTATCTAAAAAATGTATTTCAACTTATCTATTTATCTCAAAAAATGTATTCTCATCCATTTACCTCAAAAATGTATTTCAACTTCTATTTATCATCAAAAAATGTAACTGTATTTCAACTCATGTATCATCAATCCCTCTACCACTCGCTTTACTTACCCGCTACAACGACCACAATCATCTTAATGTCAACCTATTTCACGTAGATCTTCCAGCCAAGTGTTACACGTACCCCCCGCGACCCGTGACCTCGATCACGAAAACGTCTTCCTTTTTCCTCAGGTCGTGTACGTGACTGCCACGTTTCCTTATTTGGTCTTGGTGATTTTCTTCGTTCGCGGCATCACTCTACGCGGCATGGAGGACGGTTTGAAACATCTCTTCACGCCAGATGTAAGTACTAAGTGATTCGATGGGGTTGTGACGTCAGATGGTTTGGGGGGTAGGTGTGTATGTGTTTTTGGTTTTGTTTTGTTTTGGCGTGTGGGGAAATAAGTGTATTAATGTTTTTATTTTTTTTTAATTCTTTCTTTCTTTCGGTTTTTGGTATGGGATATATATTCTTTTTGTTTGGGTGACAATGTGTATGTATGTATTTTTTTTATTCTTTATTTTTGTCATATAAGATTGGTGTATCAATGTTTTTTTCATTTTTTCTTTGTTTGGTATGGAATATATATACATATATATACATAAATATTATTTGTTTGGGGCAAAGTTCAAGGCGTATATAAGATATTTTGTATACATGTTCTTCATCTTGTGTTCATAGCAAGTCACAAAATTTGTAGATATATGAAACTCTCTTTCTCCTTTTTTCTTTGTTTTTCACATAATTATCAATGAAGAGGGTGATTAGAACGATAACTTTCTCTTCGCCTTTTCTAATTAAGAATAAGAGTGATGGTTATTGAGATTTTTTTTTCTCTCCCTTTATCTCTCCATCACTTAAGACTGAGCGAGCAGTTTATCTATCCTTTTTTATGTCAATTTTCTTTCCTTTCTAGTTAGAAAAAATACTATACGGCAATGTGTTATCATTATTGAATACATCTTGTTATTAACATCAAAATTCATAATATATGATGATAATAAGTACCAACAATAATTCCTTTTACTCACTATCATTATCTCCGTATATATATTTCCCTTGTTGATAGTCTATTTATATCTCGATCCATATAAGGAAGGGGCAGTAAAGTTCAACAGCCTGAGGAAGTGAGGAAGCCGAAAGAAAATAAATAAATAAATAAAAAGATACGGAGGCATTTCCGGATCGAGAAGCAATATGTCTTAGATTAAAGGGACAATAAAAATTCTCCCATACAACCTCTGTCAATTTCACGAACAGGGGAAGGGACAAGGGGCGATAAAGAGAGGAGGGAAGGAAATGTAAAAAAAAAAAAATAATCTTTTCTTCATGCGTCAACAAGGTTCTATTTGGATGCAGATTATGGGTCTTAATTCCTAATTAAAATAGTTTTAGATATGGCACGCAGGAGAGGGAAAGACAAGGAAAGGGAGAAGAGAGATAGATAGAGAAATATATAGATAGAGATAGACGGATAGAGAGAGATAGGAGAGAGAGAGAGAAGAGAGAGAGAGAGAGAGAGAGAGAGAGAGAGAGAGAGAGAGAGAGAGAGAGGGAGAGAGAGAGAGAGAGGAGAAGAGAGAGAAGAGAGATAGATAGATAGAGAGAGAGAGAGAGAGAGAGAGAGGGAGAGAGAGAGAAGAGAGAGGAGAGGAGAGAGAGAGAGAGAGAGAGAGAGAAGAGAGAGAGAGAGAGAGAGAGAGAGAGAGAGAGAGAGAGAGAGAGAGGAGAGAGAGAGAGAGAGAGAGAGAGAGAGAGAGAGAGAAGAGAGAGAAGAGAGAGAGAGAGAGAGAGAGAGAGAGAGAGAGAGAGAGAGAGAGAGAGAGAGAGAGAGAGGAGAGAGAGAGAGAGAGAGAGAGAGAGAGAGAGAGAGAGAGGAGAGAGAGAGAGAGAGAGAGAGAGAGAGAGAGAGAGAGAGAGAGAGAGAGAGAGAGAGAGAGAGAGAGAGAGAGAGAGAGAGAGAGAAGGAGAGAGAGAGAGAGAGAGAGAGAGAGAGAGAGAGAGAGAGAGAGAGAGAGAGAGAGAGAGAGAGAGAGAGAGAGAGAGAGAGAGACGGAGAAGGAGAGAGAAATTAACATAAAGAGAAACAGTGATGACAGATATTGAAATACAGATATAGAAGACAGACAACTACAGAAGAGAGAAAAAATGAGACATACATGAAAATAACAAGATACAACTCAAAGATAAGCACAGTTATCAGTTACGATAAATGTAAATCTTTCGACTCTACGAGGTATATATCTAAAATGCATGTCATCATCATTATCATCATCATCATTATTATCAACATCATTATCATTACCATCATCATTATCGTCATCATTATAATCGCATCATCATTATCATCATTATCATTATCATTGTCGTCATTACTATTATCCTCATATTTATCATCATCATCATTATTATCATCACCATCATCACCATTACCATCATCAACACTTCTATCATCATTATCATCATTATTTTGTTGATATCCCATACCATCCTTATCTCCTCCTGCTCCTCCTCCTCATCATCATCCTTATCATCACCATCATCATCATCATCACCATCATCCTTATCATCACCATCATCATCATCATCCTATAATCATCATCATCCTTATCATCACATCATCATCATCATCATCATCACCATTCATCATCATCATCATCCTTATCATCACCATCATCATCATCCTTATCATCATTATCATCATCATCCTTATCACCATCATCACTATCTCTCCTATCACTTCCTCTTCTTGTCTCTCGATGAGGAAGAAGAGGAGAACGCTTCTCCTAAGGTGTCGGATCC